TTTTTAAACATAATTACGTACATTGGATTTAAAAATGTATACATAGAATTTATTGACAAAATTAATGAAAAAATAAAATTTTTGATTATTTATCAAGACAAAATATTAGTTTCATACTTAAGAAATATTTATAAATAAATTTAAAAATCCGTCATCATGTATTCTAAACATAATCTGTCATTTTGTATTCTAAACATCGCATGTAATGTACACACTTGATAATTTTTTGTATCACACTGAAATTTATAATTCACGTCATGGCATTTATGTAAATTTAATTTATAACTAAATAAAAATAGCATTCAATCGATTGTCTTTTGGTAGGACCCCCTGAAAAGGCATCCAGACCTGATGGTAAGTTCGTAGGTTGATAGTACCGATTGAATCGTGTATTTCTTTTTAACCTTATCTACCATTGATAATACCGACAGTTGATAAGAGACCAACAAAATTTTTGAATTTCCCGCGAAAGGTTCTGCGACTATCATCTCCACAAATCCCGACGCGAAGGAACTCCGTCCTGCTCTCCTTCCCCTCTCTGGGGGGTGGAGCCACCAAAACCCCCTAAGAAGAAGAAGAAGAAGAATCACAAAATAATCAGTGAATCAGTCATCGTATTTGTTCGTCGTGAAACGTCAATACAAAAATTGTTGCGGCTTTTTTTATACTTACACGAATCTAGTGCATACACGAAGTGCGCGAGTGTAAAATTTTCATCGTCCACAATTAAAATCATGATGACAGGTGCACGCCAAGTAAAGTAAACACACAACTCGTATCTTTGTCCCCGCGGTGACTCTACTTGCAGGTAAATCTATACCTATAGCATACATGTACGATACAAAGAGAAAAACATTATCTATTGAGAGTATTGAGTGGGTATTATAGGTACTTTCATTTGTGCATGTATATGCGTTAATAATGAATGCTGTTATCTCGTCGTTTTATGTAAACCAGCCAGCCAAGTAATCAACCAGCTAATAGATATACATTTACTAGCCAACTCTCAGGCAAAACGGAGAAAACGGAGCAGGAAATCGTTGACAAGGACGTCAACATAGACGAGGACAGTAGCCAAGACGAGGACGTCATGGCCGAAGACGTGCCAATATTGTTACTACCGAACGAGATAATCGAATTGATCCTCGAGGATCCCCAGCTGACTTTTTGGGACGTCGTTAACTTGGGAATAAGCTGCAAACGTCTGCACAGACTTGTCTTCAATGACAACAAGCTCTGGAGAACCAAGTTCTTTCAGAGGTGAGAGATGCTGTGGTTTTGTGTGTGTGTGTGTGTGTGTATCTATTATGTTAAAGTTAGAAGTGTATCCTGTTTTTTTTAGTTTATTGCATGAGATGATGCTTGATTGGAGAGTACTTGATACATGATGAGTGTGCTATATATGTACTGTTGGGTACAAACGCCTTATATCTTTACTACTAAAGCATGACTTGACACATAGTTATTAGAGCTATAGTACTGCGTTATTTTGTTAATTTGTTTATTTATTTATTTCCTAAGGTGGTCTTCTCTCAGAGAAGTTTACATGGATTATGAGAAACAACACAAGATCGAGTCCTGGCTGCAAGAAGTGCAGAGTAGCTTCTCTAGCAAAAAAACACTTATGCATCAATTGTCATTGATGCCCGCCAAGTTTTACAAGAAACAGGAGCTCTCACATTCGGAACTTAAAGATTTTGAAGTGCTTTTCCGTCCAGAAAAAGGAGCGCATCCCATGGCCTATCACTTTCACGTGGACAATCTGATAGAAATTATTGAAGAGCCAACAGTGTAAGTTTTACCAGACAATAAAGATATTTTCTTTGCTGCATCTTTAAATTTGGTAGTAGATAATTTTTTTTTTTTCATGTCTAAAAATTGCAGACAAAGTGATCTGACAATAAAATATTACGCATCCAAAGTAGTGAGATACATGAAGCAAAATTATTTAAACGACGAGTGGCAAAAGTACATAGAACTACCGCCACAGAAGCAGCTGCTGGAAGTTGGAGCGACCATTGTGGCACAGTGGAGTCAGCCAGAGAAACGAGTTTCTTACAGCCACGTGAGGGAAAGGCTGGACGACATTGCGCAATATGCCAAGGAAATTTTGAAAGAACAATATCCCCTGCACTCTATTTTCAGCACGTCACCAAAGATTATTGAGCAATGGAAAAATACTAATATTGATGATAATCAGTGGTCGACTGCCGAAACGAAACAAGTCATAGCTGCCCTGTGCGAAGTTATGTTCAACAAATTAGGCTTTCACGGGAACAGCGAAATGTACTATTCCTCGGAGAACTCATTTATAGACAGAGTAAGTTTTTTTTTCAACACTTGAAATGTAGTTTATTGGTTGTGTAAGTGATATCAATTAATAATTGTGTTCTCAGGTTCTGGAGCTCAAACATGGTATTCCTATTACATTGGCTATCGTTTTCGAGAGCGCATGCCGTCGTATTGGTGTGAAATGCGAGCCTGTTAGTTTCCCGGCTCATTTTCTGCTGCGTTGGAAAGAACGATAGTAATAAAAAAAAAACAAAAAAAACTAACGATTTTACCAAAATTTTTAGTTTAACAATGCAAAATAACGATAAAATTATTTTAAACTTTAGCACCGATGACGAAGACGACAAATTCGAGAATTTCTACATAGACGTGTTTAACGGCGGTAAATTTTTAACAACACAGAGCTGCCCCCGGTTAGGTGGCATTACCAAATGTCCGATAAAACGATACAACACTCGACAAGCAGCTACGCCTATCGAGGTAATAATTATTTTTCATTTTTTTTATTCTTTTAACTGTAAACTGGTTTAAAAATTCATAATCAAACGTTACGTTGTAGGTCGTAGAGCGAATGGCACACAATTTAGAAATAGCAAGCAGACAACGCACTCACTTGAATGGTAGAGCAGCGCGTCTACGTTCCGCTCTTGAATTAGAACACATGGTCCGACCGTTGGATACTAATGTAATTTTACACTTGGCTCGCTTTTACATGCTGCATCAGTTGGATTTGACTTCGTTAGTTAGTATATTAACTTACATAGAAAAGGTATAACTGAGGATTAATTTAGGTTTTTTTTTTTTTAAATTTTTTTTTCTCTTAATAAAAGTACTTTTATTTTTTCATTACTGCTGTGATTTCCTGTAGAATCCAGATTCAATGGCCAGAGGTCCGGCAAATCATATACTGCAAATGCTGTATGATTATGAAAGGCACATGAACGATGGAGCTGAAGTATGTTTTTATTTGGTCAACTCTTGATTAGTAAATTCATTTTCATCAAAATAACATTCATATTTTCTCAGGAAACCACTGAAGTTAAAAAACGAACTCCTGAAGTGAAGTACGCAATTGGTATGATAATGAAGCATCAGAGGTATGAGTATCTATGTGTAATCACTGGTTGGGATTTACGATGCGAAGCATCACCAGAATGGATGATCGAAATGGGTGTTGAAGAACTACATGGTGGCTCGAATCAACCGTTTTACAATGTATTCGCGGATGATGCATCGTCTCGTTACGCAGCACAAGGTGCGTTTTACATTGTAAATCTAAAAAATAAAAAATTGTAAGACATTTATAAGTCAAATTCCCTTTTTTCTTTTAGAAAATTTAGTGATGGCTGTACAACCTGGTTGGGTTGACCATTTTGAAATGGGTCGATATTTTTGTAGATTTAATGGCACTCACTATGTACCTAATAACGAGAAGGCTAAAGAGTATCCAGAAGATGCAGAAGTCAGGGAAAGCTTGCTTTCGAAGTATTTGTAAATATCCATGAATATTTTTACAAGATTTTCTATAAACTTCGTATATGTCAAACGTATATGATGTGGAACGCAGTTTTTTTGCGTTGTATATAAAGTATTTAAACTTAGTAATCGAAAAATTAGTTTTTTTTTTTTTTTTTCTGTTTTGTTGGTTTCTTTGATAAAAATTAAAATATTATTAGAGGGTAATATAAAATTTTTGGTGATCTCCAAACATCAAGTAAGTATAATTAAAGAGCTTCTATTGAAGATATTAAACTATTCCAGGGGCGTGTATGTCCATATTATACTTTTAATTTTTTCGTAATGCTATAAAAACTATCTGTAATTGACATTGTATAAAATATGTTTAGTACGCCATACGGAAGTTGTAACGTGATTTTTGTATATATTTTTTGATTGTACACGTACAACTCGTTATTCTAATATTCTCTAATGCTTATCACTTATAATCAAATAAAACTACATATGTAAACTTATTTTATCAAAGTTAAATTATTAGTTAAATTATATAGATACGGTATGAAAGAACTAAGGAAAAGTAATTTATAATTTGTACATCAAAAAAGAATAAAATAATTGTCAAAACTTTTAATTGCATAAAATGAAAAGGGCTACCTCGCACGTAATCTTTCATCAGTATTAATAACAAAATATGGTTCTTACTTCTTACTTAATAAAATAACGTTATTTTTTCAGAGACTATACTATGTAAAATGCGCTTCGACTAATCTAAGTTACTGTGATGACGTCTAAAATCTAAACCTTTTTTTTTTTCAATGTACGTGTAGTCGAAAATTATATTCAGTTTTGTTTCGTTTTTAATCAAATACAATTTTTTGTCTAATCATTTCTTAAAGGATAAACTATTCAAATACTGTCACTATAATACTGTGAACTTATTTCATTTCAATAATGCAACTGATCTCCTACAAAACCTGCCAACAAATCTCCATAGCTGTGCTGTCAGCATCAATACAGAAGATATCGTGTAAATACGAGAGATATACTAGCTCTGACTAATGCTGTCCCCTTCTTGCACTATCATGATATTTTCCTCATAACAGCGTTTGCGGAAAAATGTATTTTTATATCACACTAAGCGTAAAGTTCGTACTGTTCTCCCTGTATACAGGGACAGAAACTGTGTAATAAGTGCGTGTACGCATGCGTATCTATATCTTACTGTATATTACTATATACATAAACCAATAAGTGCCTGAAGTAGTTCGGTGCTCGAACATAGCGAGGGCGCCACACTGCAGTAAACAAACAAATTTGGGAAATATCAACAAGATAAAAGAAGCCAATGTACTGTTTGCTGGTGTATTTTATACAAAAAAAAACATGAGATTCTGAACAAATGGAAATAATTAAAATTGTTATACAATTTTCTTTGTTCACACATTTTTAAATAATAACTGCATTTTTACAGTTCTTCATTTTTATCAATCTTGTATAATAAACTATTGAAATTATTACATTTCGAAACACATTCATTAAAAGAGTTAAATAATTAGGTCCTTGTTCTTATGCTTCCATTGTAAGAATCGAGCGTATGCATATTCATATAATGCTCTCGATTTTATGGGAAGTAAATTTTGAACAATGGCATTTCGTTCACAGTCAAAGTCTCTTCCTTCCCCTACTTTATCCTCGTTAAAGTTTTCTTCGTCAGAAGAATCCTCTTCAAACATGACTGTCGAAACTGTTGCCATATTTTATACAAAAATACAGGAATATCCTAAATATCACAATCGGAAACAATTATAAAAACTCTTGTGATATAACCTATAACCACACAATGAATGGCTTGTTTTCCTTCTATCTCTCTCCCTCTCAATGTAACGAACTTTCCACTGAGTGTGATATAAAAGTGTATACGCACCGCGAGACTAAAGCAAGCCAGCGAGTGGCTATTGCTTGTAGCGCCCTCGCTACGCTCGGGCGCACACTACAACAGCCACGAACTGGCTTGCTTTAGTCCCTTGGTACGTAATATACTATTTATTTTTTATTTCTCCAACCCATGCACCACTAAAGTGATTTTTGCGAGCACCCTCTGCTACTTCTGTGTGATAAACCTTGATCCTCAACCTGATTAGTACTTAATTACTCATCCTAAATTTCGTTAACCAACTAAACACGTGTACCCCCGTCCCAACTCACCTTAGTCACAGCCCTTTACCTCGAAACATTCCAGGAAACCACTCGTAGAACCAGAGTCATCTTTTGAAAAGTTGATACATACAAATACATGGATTATCGATGACAGCTCATGAAGTAAACAAATGTTGGTTAAAAATTAATAACAGCACTAATTTTTATCCAACCAGACTTATTAGTTTCTTTAATCATTTTTTGCATAAGCAAAAACTTTTACAGAAGAAGGACACAGAGACTAGTATTTTATTGAAAAGATTTTCTATTTTGCGTACTGGAGACTTCATTTAAGCCAAGTGCTGTTTTGTCTAACAAGGAAAAGCCTAGATTTTATCGTATGTGAGTATGAAAAGGTAAGTTGTATGTCTTGTACTTACAATGTAAATTAGTATATTACGTACCAAGGGACTAAAGCAAGCCAGTTCGTGGCTGTTGTAGTGTGCGCCCGAGCGTAGCGAGGGCGCTACAAGCAATAGCCACTCGCTGGCTTGCTTTAGTCTCGCGGTGCGTAAGTATACACTTTTATATCACACTCAGTGGAAAGTTCGTTACATTGAGAGGGAGAGAGATAGAAGGAAAGCAAGCCATTCATTGTGTGGTTATAGGTTATATTACAAGAGTTTTTATAATTGTTTCCGATTGTGATATTTAGGATATTCCTGTATTTTTGTATAAAATATGGCAATTGTTTCGACAGTCATGTTTGAAGAGGATTCTTCTGACGAAGAAAACTTTAACGAGAATAAAGTAGGGGAAGGAAGAGACTTTGACTGTGAACGAAATGCCATTGTTCAAAATTTACTTCCCATAAAATCGAGAGCATTATATGAATATGCATACGCTCGATTCTTACAATGGAAGCATAAGAACAAGGACCTAATTATTTAACTCTTTTAATGAATGTGTTTCGAAATGTAATAATTTCAATAGTTTATTATACAAGATTGATAAAAATGAAGAACTGTAAAAATGCAGTTATTATTTAAAAATGTGTGAACAAAGAAAATTGTATAACAATTTTAATTATTTCCATTTGTTCAGAATCTCATGTTTTTTTTTGTATAATATACACCAGCAAACAGTACATTGGCTTCTTTTATCTTGTTGATATTTCCCAAATTTGTTTGTTTACTGCAGTGTGGCGCCCTCGCTATGTTCGAGCACCGAACTACTTCAGGCACTTATTGGTTTATGTATATAGTAATATACAGTAAGATATAGATACGCATGCGTACACGCACTTATTACACAGTTTCTGTCCCTGTATACAGGGAGAACAGTACGAACTTTACGCTTAGTGTGATATAAAAATATTTATTTTTATGCACAACTTCTTAGCTATTGGGTTTTATTTATGTTTGAACGGACCCAGCACCAAATCTTTTTATTTTCTCTCTCGGTTCAATTGGTTAAAAATTGTTGATATTGTAAATAAAACTATCCTAAATGAAATACAAAAGGTTCAATCGAGCACCGTAAAATTTTTATTCACAATGTATGTTACTTTGCTAGCGAAAAAATGCGAGAAACTTAAAAAGGGTAAATCCTACATACTGAATCCATACTGTATATACACTATTTAAATTAATTGTTAAAGCTTATATTAACATTTAATTTTTCTACACTAGGCAAAGTGGCAAAAAAAAAATTAGCGTGTAGAAAATATCATACATTTGTACGTTCAAATATCCTGCAAATTGTTTTATTAGTAAACAAATTGTCCCTTACATACATCGAAGTGATACAGAAAGTCAACAAAAGTTGAAAGTAGGTATGGTTAAATATATAAATAAAGGTATGCTACTTAACAATAATGTCATCGATGATTTTATTTAAAATACTCTTCACATATTTTTAAACCAATTTGAAAAAACTACAAAATAGTACGTAAAAACCAAGAGAGTGAGTAATTATTCTTATCATTATTATTATTATTATTATTATTATTATTATTATTATTATTATTTACATTTTTATTGCATGTATGATGTTGTATTGCGTAAATAATTGTTGTTGTGTATATAATGCATTCTTGTTCGTTGTAGTACATAATTGTTCATTATACTGAATCTATCAGTCTCTTGTTCTTGAATACATTATTGGTTTTATACATTTGTTGTGTAGTACTAACAATTTTTTTATCTTATATCTTTTTTTGAGGTATTGGTTATACATACATAGACCTTTGTCAGATATTTTCAAGGATTGCATAACATTTACTTGTTATTATTGTTTTTTGACACAAAAAATATTTGTTGAACATTTTTGTTCACTATATAATTATTGATTCATCAATTGATACTTAAGTATTATTAAATATCAAGTAAAAATCACACATGTATATAAATATATGATTTTTTTTTTCAAAAATGTTTTTCTCTAGTAACATAACAAGGGCTGAATCAATTGTTACTTTTCAAGTATTAAATTTAAATTTTTTAGACTGCATAATAAAAACCGGTTTAGATATAATAAATTCTGAAGAATTTAGTTGTAAATATGTGATTTTTATAATTTAAAGTTTGAACAGTTAAAAATAGCAACTAAGATTTTTTACATTATAAAACACTTTAAAAACATTTTAAGAAATTTCTTTCAGCTGCACAAAGTTTCGTTGACCGATAAGTCAAAGTTAATTATTTTTTACTAATATAACACTGTATTACGTGTAGTATAAGTCATAGAGGCAGCCTCCCACTTGGCAGTAATCCGTTAATGCTTAAAAAAATATGTTGACATATACATTTTTTTCTTTTTTTTTTATCACAATTAGTATTTTAAATTGTTGATTATAATTGATTTACCTTTGCATGCAGTAATAGCTTTTGTAAAATCTTCAGGCGATCCTACATTAGGTAGCGGCTCTGGCAATTCATTGGTATTAATTGTACCATCCTGATTAATCTGAAAAAAATATTTTTACAACTTACACATAATAAATGTGGTAGTAATATTGAAAAATCGTTTATCAGAGTGTTTTATGTAATAGAAAATAAATTGTTTTAAAATGCAATTGGTACCTACAATATGATAATGTTTAAACCAACAGGCCATGAAACATTCTATCTTGTTTCTGGGCCATTGGTGGATCATCACAAGATTGAAAGTCTGAATTTCGTCAATGCTCGTGATTCCTTAAAACAAATTCATTTTGTTCATTCACAAAAAAAAGTTAGATGACGCATTATGAAGGTTGAACAATATACCTAAATCTGTCAGGTTAAGATTTACTTCAGCAATACAGTCCAGTACGGTATTTTTCAATGGAGGATCATCAGCACGAGCTTCGGTATTCTAAGGATCATCAATTCAATGTTAACTCATGCTATATTAATGTTCATCACTTTTTAATTTTGCATCAATTAAAAATCATTTTAATTCATAATCAATGCAATGGTAGTAAAAATTTATTTTCTTACGATTACAACATTGAACATGAAAAAATGGTATTTTTTTTATCTAAGTACAAGGAAGTGATAAAATTTTTTAAAAATTTAAAGTGAGCTTCTAAGAGCTTATCAAAAATATTAATTAAAAAAAAAAAAAATCCGTGTCAGGTACAGTATAAGAAAGTTTTAGAATAAGAGAAAAGTATTTTTGACATAAAACCAATTTTATTGTTTAGAGCATTTATTTTTAATCCTGGAGCTAGATGTGGAATTGGAAAAATTATGAGTTAACTAACTTAATGAAATTCATAAAAATGCAGAAGTATTTTGAAAAAAGGACTAGTTATTAAAAATCTGTAAGCTTACTATTCGCCATTTTTTTGTAAAATTAAATATTCTCTTTATCATGGATGAAAAAAGTTTTTTCACTTTTGTAAAAAATTCTTTTTTCGACTTAAAACATTTAGGTGTCTATAACAATAATCTTTATTGCATGAAACATTTATTTCTACCTATTCTTAATAAAAATAAAATTAAAAATTTTTTTTTTTTTATATTGAAGCTGTGTTGAGAACTTTTTGAATTAAAAAAAGTGTGCTATCTAAAAAAAATATTACATGTTGTATAAGAAAATAAATGTTTTTTTTCTGAAATGAAAATATACGACACCTCTGTAGAATAGAAGTTGTGCTTAAATAGCAAATATTATCAAAAGTACGTAAGTATGTACATACCTGTAGTAAAGTCACTAATGTGCAAACAATCATTGCAGTGATGAAGCACATTTTGTTTTTTGTTTTACTGAGAGATCTGTTGACTACTACTACCGGAGTCATTTTATACCAAACTTATCAATTTCAATACTAAGTTGTGTCGAAGTTGATCCCACACACAAACTCGAGTTTATCGAAAGAAGAGAAAAAAGCCTAACGATGTAAGAGCAATTGAATCTAAAATAATACTTTGGAGTTTCCAAATGACGATTGACATCCAACACGAGCTTCAACATTTATGATCCCTCGTGCGTATGGACGCGTCAATTATATGGTATACCATGTATTGACATAAGGAGATTGTGCGTTTGCTTTACTTAACTTCCGAATGTCTGCCAATGTAGTTATCAAGTTTAGATAAATATTACATCAAAACACGTCTTTTTATTTTCAAACCGTCTACATGACAAGAAAACAAGTACTTAAAAAAACTTGGACTATTTTTAATAAAAATAACTATGATGTATTGTAAGTAAATGTTTACCAGTAAAATAAATGTTTTATGTAGATGTTGCGTGGGTTATTGGATAACTGGACTATTTGATTAATGGCTTTCCAATGATCCAATTCGATCAAGTTCTCGAACTTCAATTTTGTTTAAAACGACACATCATACAGGTACCCCTCGAATCGTAGAAATTTTTTAAAGTGGCGAATGAAAAATTCAATCATATTAACTCGTACGAATGTATATTAATTTTTTATTCTCTGACTCAGCGTCAGTAAAGATATGTTACACTTTCGTATAAATAATGTATACAAATACCTGTGCAAACATTGATTGCATCTTCGTGTGCAGTTATAAACTTTTTATTGAGATTTGATGACGGCGGGTGCTCCATTGGTGGTTATCTTTTTGTAAAGCGGTAATGTAATGAATAAATTGGTTTAATTGATTTCATCAGTAAACAATGATGAAAGTTAACTGATACAATGATCTTGGGAAAAGGTAAAACAGCTTATAATAACTGAACGGATGTGTAAGCTTTTATCGTGTCATCGATTATTGTTTTATTTTTAATATTTTAAAATACAAATATTACTTAGTATTATTAGTCATGACATTTTTTATTGCTACTGCCAAAGTGCTTGGGCGTTGAAAAAAAATTTTTTACGTTTTGGCTTTGTGTCACTTGATAGTATTAACTAAGATCTTTTTTACTTACATAAGGCACGCACACAATTAATTTTTAACCACATGTACAAGTATGATGAAATGTATGGAAACTCCGACGTTTCATTTAAGATAAAAAAAATTATATTTTAAGCGTACATCATGCAAAACATCAGAAAAACAGAGTACTAAAATAGAATAGAACAGAAGTAGAATATTGACCTTGTGTCTACGTATAATTTTTTTCTTAGTGTCATACATTCAGCTTTTTTAATTTTTGGTTTACTATTACTTACTCTTAGTGTTAACTTTCTACGACCACGTATCTTAATGTTTTGTCATTATCTTTTAATATATAATTGTAACTCTTTTTCTTTTATTTAGCTTTTATATTTTTTCGTTGAGGTAGTGTTCTGTAAAATAATTATTTAAAATTTTTTTTTTTTTACAGATGAATTTGGTTACCAGTAAAAAAAAAACTTCAATCTTTCAAGAAACATTAAATTTTATTTTGAATAGATGTCATTACATACTACAAGAGGCTGAATCCATAAAGATATAATCTCTATTATGGCTAAATTAGTTACAATCTAATCAAAGGGACTTTTTTACAGGACTATCCAATGGAATTTCTTTTTTGAAAATAATACTTCTTTTGATGCCTCCGTTAATTTTTGTAGGAAGAACTAATTAGAAGTTATTAAAAGCACCTAAAACAAAATACATAAAAGTATTTACAAAAATAAGACTAGTAACGTCAACAAATTTACTTTATTATGCAGCATCATTTTTTAAATAAAGAAAGTATTAAGTACTGAAAGTTTTTAAGTAATTAGTTTTCAATTCCTAATCAGCTTCTGCCGAAAAAATTCAGTGACAGTAATTTTTCCGAAGCTATTTAAAAAAAAATTTTTTTTGTTATTTTCTCCAAACGTACAAAAAAAGATTGTTACATTGACTTTGCAGCACAATTGTATTTTTCTCATAAACTGTATATGTTGTTTTTAACGAAATAAAAAATGTACTAAAAGAATATGCTTACACTAATAGTAAGTCATAATAAAATAACTTGGAAATAGTACAGTACTTTGATTTGTCACAGATTTTACCGCATAAATAATTTACCAAAGACAAATGGATGTCATAAAATAATGTTTCCATAGGTACTCAATGAAAGACATGCTGGATAATTATAATATTTTTATCTGCAAAATTTTAACAAAAAACGTGTACAATACTTACAATTTCTTGTTATCGGGTTGTACATGTGATGTAACTGTTTTTCCTTTTCTCAAGCCAAGTTTAACATCAACAATTTTATGTCAATAATTTTCTCCCAAATTACTCAATATATGTAAATTGATTCTTGTATCAGCGTGCCAGTCTTCAACGTACCCTTTTAAAAGACAATTGCTTTTACAAATTTGAAATTACAAATCGTTTTCGCAAATTTATATTTTTTCAAAAGTAATTATACTTTTTCACAAAAAAGTACTCTCTTACACATGTAACTTTTCACGAGACAAAAAAGGACGTTCAGTTAAATGAAGTGACCGACCAAAAATATTATATCGAAGAGAAATACAGATAGGCCACTATAATCCAAGCAATAATATTGAACAAACCAACAGTCAAAATTGCACTTAAAAAGCAGTAATAAAGCAAAAACGGTCTCATGATTGATTTTGGATGCTCAAAAACTTGCTTTTCTCTCTCCTGATGGCTTTCGGCGAATCTCGACTCCATAATCTGTAAAGCCGAACTCTGAACTTACGATATCGGATCCATCTTATTTGTAAGCGTGCAAATGTACTTTTGTATAGTTTAGTAGATGAGATACGACTTGTATCAGCTCTCTAAAGTATCTATCGGTTACTGGATATTTTGCTTTCTTGAAGAGGAAGATTTGAGATGGACAAAAAATTATGTAATGAGATAACGAGCTATAGAATCAAAATGCTTTGCTCTGGAGAAAATTTATATCCGTGTGTGTATGTATGTCTGTAATCAGTCATATCTTACGGTGCTTTACTGCTCTGGACGGATTTTGACACAATCCATTTTTTGAAACTTAATAATTCAAAATTTAAGACCAAATGATTAGAAAATCGACTGATTATTAACTCAAAATCCGCATAAAATGTATTGATTGTAAAAAAATGCATTTTCAATATTTAATCGATACAAGTTGCATCTATTTGTGACATCTTTGATCTACATCAGACATGACCCTTGAGTTTCAAAAATTACATTTATAGTTGTAAGTAAAGCATTTTTTTCATAATTTTTCAATGAAAAAATTAGTTTTACCAGAACTCGTATTTTTTTTTAATCTTCAGTTAATGTTAATATTATTAATTGGTCATTACTTTGCGTAATCTAACTATTACAGTAACTTAGATTATAATCACTGATTAACATTTTTATGCGTATAGTATCCAATTAATACACTGTAGTAATCCAAGTGGTAAAAGTTTTGTTTATACAATTTTTCGCTATTTTAATATTTTCAAAATCAATTAATTTGGTTAATAACATTCA